TGGGAAGGTAGGAAGGGCAGTGGGCAAATGCCACTGTCAACTGTTAGCGAGGCTGATAGAAGAGAGGGGCCATTCTCCACCCAGCAGTCCTGCAGTCATAACCCGCTGACTCAGGCCTGGGGCACAAGTCTGGTCACAAAGAAGTCAAAGCAGGGCCCAATTATCCAGTGATGTGACATTATCGTGTTAAATGTGCCTTAAGTGACAGGATCGGGAGCTGGGACTGCAAAATATTTTCATTATGCTCTTTTGGAAATCACTCAGGTATTTGTTCTGAAGTTATGTTACCAACACGTACCTCAGGTGTCTGTGGGCGTCTAAACTGGATCAAGTAAGAATGCTCTCAAAGAAAACAAGGAGAGTAAAGGGAAGTTCCCACAGGCTTGAAAACACGTGCACAAAATATTCAACTGAAAACTGCATTTCGGCACTTAAAACACTCTTTACACTTTTATTCATCCTTATTCAATCTTTTTTTTAAACAATATATTTCTACTATAAAATTATTTTGGTTATAATATGTGCTCAGAGTAGCAAACTCAAGCAATACGAAATCCATTACGCGAAAGGGGAGTCTTTCTCTTCGCTTCCCCAGTTCGATCCTGAGGTGAGCCCTGCCAGCTCGGGGTGCGCATCCTCCCATCTGTTCATACTCACATACCTCGTTCCTTAGAACATGTCATTACATCAGTCCACATGGCCCCACTCGGCAGCACAGGAAGGAGCGATTTAGCCGATCTGAGTTGGCCAAACAGAACTGACTGATATCAGAGGCTGAAAGCCCCCTTTTTCTAACAAGGTGTAGTATCAGTATTTACCTCGACCAAGTAGCTCTATTATCATAGTCACCAGGTCCTTTGCCTCCTTCCATTAAGCAGGGAGAGTGTTACAGGATGGGGTCCCTTTTCCTGGGGGATCTGGGGCATCTCTGCCCAGCTTACGCACACTTCTCGGGGCGGGTAATGGGTATGCAGGGCACTGTGCTCCTAAGTTTTCCCTCAATAAGCCCCATTTTATATTTATATCACACGGCACTTGTGGGGTGTGTGTGTGTGTTTGCGCGCGCATGCGTCTCTCTCCTTTTTGTGTGTGTGTGTGTGTGTGTGTGTGTGTTCGCACACATGTGTCTCTCTCCTTTCACATGTTACTGAATATGCAGAGTTTATTTACTCACTCTTCTCTCAGCAAGGTTTCTGGACAGAAAGTGCTGGATCATAACTTATACACATGTTAAACCGGATAAACCAAGGAGGTTATGTGCTCACCATCACTGGACATCTCTGCCAGTCCTTTCCTAAACCAGCCGAGGAGAACACCCGTGGAAAAGTCAGAGAGAATCTCTGCAGTGCACACTATTCGCGGTGTTTCCTCAGACGGCAAATCTCACCTTTGGTTCGATTCTCCGAATCAGCCCTCACTAGGTTATTGGAATCCGGCTCACCTGACTCATACACCCCAGCAGCCGCCCCACTGCCTCTGGGCCTGTTCTCCACAGAAAGACTCTTTAGAAACCTGCAGCTCTCCACGGCCCTTACTCAAAGTACCATGAACTTTAAATTGGAACGTGACAGCAGTGGAAAAAACCAGTATAAAATAAAAACCATGCAGATGCCTCTACATTCCAATACTATTTTACTTATTACCTGAGGAGACACATTATTTGGGAGGAATGAGTATTTCAAAGTTTTGATTATAAACTTCAAAAGAACAGCATGGAATTCTGCTGTTTGCCTTCCATCTCCCCAGGCTCTCATCTAGACGGGAGAAATCAGTCGGCCTGAGTAGAACAAAGGTCCAGATGTTATTCCTGCAGTCACTGGGCAGGAGATGCATGTGCAGATCGCACTTGCTTCCCGCCACATCCCCAAAAGCGGCCGACCAGGTGGCCTTAGCAAACTGGCCGAGTACATCCTCTGGCTCAAGGTCTGTGTTCTTGGGGGCTGGGGCTCCTCACACTCTCTACCCTCACTCAGATTAGAATTTCTTGCTAATGAGCCTGTAGCTTAGTTTACCAAGTGGAGCGAGATGGGGAGCCGACCAACTGAGGCAGCAGGGCAGGCTCAGGCAATTGCCAGCTCAGACCTGAGCCAGGACTCTGGGCTGTTGGGCCAGTGATACAACTGAGCTTGCACTCTGCCTACCCCAAACTGCTCTCTTGCTTGGCCAGGGTCAGACGCCAAGCCAGGCCCTGAGGGCCAGATCCAGTCCCTGACCCTTCAGGTTCAACCCCAACTCAGGAGGCGCTGTGTGTTTTCACACACACGGTGGGGCCATACAGGCAAAGCATCGTTCTCTCCCCTCAGCCAGGACACAGGAGCCACAATCTGGCCTGTCACAGGTAACAATAACATCCCCCAGCCACCATCTCAAAAGGCCTGCCCTGTCCGCAGAAAGGAACACTGGGGCCACACAAATGTCAAGAACCAAGAGTGGTCTGGGTGAGAGGCCAGTTTAAACGAACAAAACAGAACGACCTGTCCTTGCCTCTTCAATGACCATGCTTGGTGAGCTGGCTCTAGATAAACGACTCTGGTAGAAATGAAGATTCTCTTACCTTGTTCTCCCCGCCCCCGTCCTTAAACAAGGGCCCCATTATTCCTCAGGGTTTTCAAATTCCATCCAGAATTCCCTCTCTAAAAGCCAATCAAAGTCATTTCTGGGCAGGGGGAAGCCTGCCAAAGGTAACAGGATCAGGATTCTGGCAGCCATATTTAATAGGAAATTAGTTATGGAGCAATCTGTATTTTTAGAGACGGGCCTTGTCAAAAGTGTGGTCTTTGGGATATTCTTTTAACTAACTCTGCTCTGTTCTTTCATCACTATCCCCTAGTCCTTTAGGGGTTTCTGGTAAGTGGTTGAAAACAAAGCCGTTAAAGGATGGATTGGTGAAAACTCATTATTTTTTATTCACTAGTTTTCTATATCCTTTTTTGCTTTGACTGTGTGTGTGTGGGAGAGAGAGAGAGAGAGAGAGAACGAGTGAGCACAAGCACACACTCCAGGGGAGATATTGCAACTAATTATAATGTATCTTTGCTTATTTAGAATTTTGGAGAGGAGGTGATAATTTCTGTGAGCCTGAGAATTATTCCCAACTCTTGAGTATCCAATCCTTAAGGTGATCTGTGTACATCTAAGTATCTAGTTATGCTTTTCTCCTCCATTTTTATTTTTTAAACTTTAAAATTCATTTTTGACCAATGACGCCTACTTTACCTATTAAACAAATTTTCTATCATTTAAAAAAAAAATCTGTATCATTATAGTTAAGCGGTTTTCATAAAGCTTTCTTAAAGAAAAAGCCTCCTACAGGAATGGCAATGTTTATAGAGACATGTCTGAAAAGAACACTGATTTAATATGTAAAACGAAGGTAAAAAATATTTCTCTAGATAATTTCTCATTAATTTAGATACTCTAATAATGAGTCTCAAGTAACACACTAGTGAGTCTGGATCATTTAATGTGTAGACCCCCAAATTAAAAACTTTCCCAAATAAAAATGGCAACCTCATTAATATGAGGCAGTGAGGTCAGGGAGACCTAGCTTGTGATTTTATTAGCTCATGTTGGTTGTTTATCATATACCCTGAGCAGAATTGTGGTACTGAGGGGCAAGATATTTTATATTTTGTAAGTGGATTTAGATAATAAACACCTCAAATATATGATTAGATTGGCATCCTGAAATCACTGTTGAAAAACAGTACATTCCTTTAGTAAGTCATGGAAGACAACTTGTACCTCTAAGTACCTGAATGACACACAGCTGGACACCACTATTGTTTCAGTATGATTAATAATTACATAAAAATAAATTTAGCATCACAACCTGACGATGCACTCAACCCTGGTCTTGAATTGGCTGCCCCCTCTCAAGGTCAGGCCCCCTTAGTGAGGATGTGGGGCAAATGGAACTCAAATACATCACTCCAGAGAATGCATGAGAACATGGACAAAACCCACACTACCATTTATAGATCTTCTTGTCCAACCTTACTCAAAATAATTCCTTGATACTAATGAAAGAAAATGCTTTCCTCCAGATTGAGAACAACAACAACAAAAAAATCACATAGACAGGAACAACAGGCAACATCTAAGATATCTATAAAAAAAGGTGCTAAACTAATATGTTAAGTTTTAGCATGAACCTAGGATACAAGGTCAATCAACGAAAATGTATTTCTATATACTAGCAAGTAATAACTGGAAATTAAAATGGAGGAAATACCATTTATATCATCAAAACTATGAAATATTTAGAAATAAACATGACAAACTATGTATAGTCTGTACACTAAAATTACTAAATAGCATTGAGAAAAATTAAAAAGATCTAAGTGGAGAGATGTCTTATATTCACAGTTAGAAAGTCTTAATATTAATATCAACTCCCCCAAAACTGAGCCATAGATTAAACACAAGATTCCAGCAGGGTTTTGGGGATAGAAATTGACAAGCTGATTCTAAAATTCTTCTGAAACACTAGAAAAGACAGATCTAAATTATAGTGACCGAGGTCAGTGATAGCCGAGAGCAAAGGGTGTAGACTGGGAAGTGGCATAAAGTGACCTTTTAGGGTGATGAAAACATCCTGTTATCTTGCTTGTGGCAGTGGTTACATGGTGTATGCATTTGTCAAAATTTACTGAACTGCACGCTTATAATATGTGCCTCTTACAGTGTGAAATTGAGACCTCAATAAAGTTGCTTTTAAAAAGTACTACTAGAGAAGTCTGCTCGAGCGACACTACAGACTTGATTCCAATTTTAGTTTCTACTCATAATTTTCAAATCACTTTATCAGTTTTCTAATCTGCAAAACAGGGACACTCTCCACCTGGTCCTGCTTTGGGAAATACTATACAACTGCTCCTAATTACTTGTGGATTCACCTAATTGCTAAAATTTATTTGTAAGTACAAAACCAAGATATGTGGTGCTTTTGTGGTCACGGATGGATACGTGCCTGTGCAGAACATGAGAAATCTGTTCCCGTTGTCTAGCTTTTCTCCAAAATGTAAGTCAACATTACAGATATGGTCTGGCCCATGCAGGGCAAGGCAGGTTCTTTTCAATTTTCACAAATTCCGTAGCTTTTCCACAAACCACTGTCAACGTAAGCCAACGAATTTCTTCCATCTTTTGTGCTTCTCTTATTATTTTCTTTCAACGTATCGCCATTTCTTTTCTCAACACTGGCAAATATAGAATTTCGTTTTTTGAGCCGTCCATTGTTCTTGAGAGCTGTCATGTTTCCAAACCTTCACCCACGGGATCAGAGATATCTGTTACCTATACCGTGGAAGCTCTGATGGGCTGCTATCAGTGACAGACTTAGGTGAAAAAATTTACTCTCCTGGTTTTCAAAAACTGATGTTATCAGACACATTTAATCTGCATCGAGCTTTACTTCTATCATCTCTTTCTACATGGAAGTCCAACTTATGCACTGTCTTCCTATCAACTTTGTTGTTCACATCAGTCAACTTGTAATGTTTTTAAAAGCTGCAAATTTGAAAGTTTTTAAAAGCTGAAACTTTTAATGTTTCAAGTTCTCTTTAGAGCAGATTCCATACTAATCATTGAAAAGCCACTTATTTCCTCTAAACAGAAAAATGCAGCAAAAAAAAAAAAAAGAAAATCTATTACGAAGATCAGAACAGAACATGCTCAGGTAAGGCATAACCAGTTTTTACTTTGTGTTCGATGGCCTGACAGGATAAGAAAAACACACATTTTGGTTTTATATGAAAGCATTTAGTACACATTGTTAAAAAGGGTAGGATTAAAAGGCTGATATCACTGATGAATCCTGTTTTCAATGCAAACAAGTCACCCACTCCTCCGGCCCACCTATCCCCTCTTATTCCTTAATATTCTAAGAAATTGTGTACGTGCATACACACACACACAAACATACACACAAAAAAAACACCTCAAATGAAAATTCCCCAAGATCTAAAGTAACTCAGTAGTAATTCAATTGTATTTTTATATTATTTTTAAATTTAAAACCAAACTTTAAAAAAGGAAGGCATCCAGATACAGGTCACCATTCACCTTTACAAAAATACCACACTACTTATACTCAATATTGATATACACGTGAATATGGACTTGGATGGTACCCTTGGTTCAAACAAGATATGTTCTCACATAGGAGAGGCATTACTCAAACAATCTGTAGTTCAAGTTCCAGGCAGCTGCTCACTTGTGACCTACTTCAATTACATAGCTCTAAGTTCACAGAACAAATAAGCTACTCTAAATAAAAATATCACAGTTTCAAATACTTTTGGTTCTTATTAAGAATTAAACAATTTATTGTTAGCTAAAAAAAATTTAAAAAGCTCCAACACCTCCTGGAAGGTAAAATACTCCTAAAAATATAGTCATTAGGAAATGACCTTGGGGGAACACAGGGTCAGACACAGTACCTTCTACCCACACAGAGAGGAGTCTGATGGAATCTAAGGCACGTGAATTTTACTTCTGGCTCTTATACACCTAAATCAACCATCTCTCACGACCACCTCCCATAACTGTTATATTCCTATCGTAACATCATCTTGGGGAAACCTAATCTATTTCTAGCTAGAGTTTAAATAGCAATATAAAAATCATACCAATTTACCCAATTTTTTGGTGTTATCACCATTCACTTGGGTCAAATGGTATTTGGAAAGTCAGGTTGCCCAGGCAGAAAAATCTCCAGATGAAACTTTTTTGGTGGTAATTTGCCTGCGTCTTGACCTATAATTCTTTTTTTTTTCTTTCTCTTCTTTAACGCCTTTAAATCCTCCTCCCACCCTTCCTTCTATCCCTGACCTATGGATGTTGCCGTCTCCCCTTAGGAACTGGATCTCTGAAGGCAGCGCGTCTCCGCCCATGTGCTCGCAGGGTGTACCCGGGGCCTGGCGCACCTAGGGTATTTGACCTATAATTCTTGATGTGTATAATGAAGTACATGTGCAAATCTCGAACTCCATGGATTCTGTCTTTAGGGGTGTTTCGGTCACGCTTCACAGCTTCTCAAATGTGGCACTCATTTTGGTTAGAGGTTTCAAAGTTTCTTTAAGCCATATTTCAACAAAGCCTACTTAAAAATGGTATGATTTTAGATGTTTGTACTACAGAGCTCCACAATATTGAAAGGGCACAGAGCCACGCAAACGTGAACTGAAATGCCAATTCAGTGACTTAATCAATTTCAAAGAAACGGAACAGAAAGAAGGAACCTGGCTCATAATATTAGTACATCAAGACTATACTGAGGACCATGATAATAATGATCTAGATGACAAAAAGTTATATATTTGTAGAATCTGAGTGCCGAAAGACACATTTCAAGATTAAGTCCAATCTTCCTTATTTCCAGACAAAGAAAATGAAGTCCAGAAGTTAGGCAGCTTACTTGGGGTGAGCTAAATTAATTCTTCTGCTTTCGAGTCCACAGAAACACTAGACCCTTTCTGTGATAAAAATGCGACATTGCACACCCTATGACCCGAGAGATACAGAAACACAGTTCTTGATTTACCTTCCAGTTTTTGGACAAAAAAATTGTGTGAATGTAGCCATCAGGACTAAGAGCACAGAAGACAATGACATCTTGATTGTCCACTTAAAGGTTAATGTTATAATGTTAAATTTGACGTCAAAAGAAGTAAGTAGGCAAAGCTTGTAGGCTTAACAAGTATTTGTTTTGACTGTATCAATCAGGAACATGGCAACACAGAACCAGTACTTGCTTTCCCTGAACCACAAGAGGCAATGCAGGCTGTGGGTACCTGTTTGAAGTCAGGGCTATGTGAGGCTATTCAGAAATTTGGCATGCTCTTCTCCTCTTGGTAACAGGGTTTCTCCTCCTATCTTTGGACCTGTCTTTTCCTAGGAGAGTGAAAATAGTTTAATAAGAAATGGCTCAACATTATTTGCACGGGTCACTAAAATTAGTCACCTCGCAAATGACATACCTTTATCATTCCGTCTCGTTCCCATTTGAAGAGGCCACAGTTACTGAAACAGAAGGGATGAGATTTACTCAGCGGTGAGGTATGGGCCTCCACACACATACATCAGAAGAGTGTCTCCCACTCAAGCAGAAGCTGATCAAGGTAACACTCAAATTCCAGGCCAGGCTTGAACGCAACTGAAGATCCACACTCCAGTGATGTGTGAAATGACCTTCGACTCTGTGATAAGCCAGATACATCAGAGATGGAATTTCTAGTGGTAGCGTGACAGGGTTATGCACATGGTGGGTCATGGATGCAAGACAGTCACTAGGATGACAGGTTTCGGAAGCTAGTCCCCTTCTTCTTTTTCTGGAACTAAAAGGTTGTGATCAAAAAGGATCGATCTTTCTTCTAGTCAGGATAATCCTCCTTTTTCATAACCCAAACATGCTTGCTCTCTTATTCAAAAGACATAGAGACCTTTGTTCTTTTTTTAACATGGTGGGTGAGTCCAATCCTGAGAAGGAATGTGGCTACAATGCAGAAAGATTACTTCTACAAAGTTTACTCTGGGGAAGAAAGAGAAACAGAAAAGAAATACAGGGAAATGGGAGCGAGATGTCTTTCCTTTGGGATATGAGAGGGTCTGGGGCCAGAGGACTGTCCTACCTGCCTGTCCTTCTTTCCTATCTAGTTTTGTAGTGGAAGCCCTGACTTTTCTTTTCTTTTTGTAATGCAAATGCCTGACTGAAGCTTTGACTGCTGAGCATCCATATCAAAGAGGCTAACTCAGTAATAAATGTATTGCCAGCCACAGGACCAGACGAAGACCCAGGCGGCCCACCTCCCCACCACTGAAGTTCCTTTCAGAGATCTCTGTTAATTTGGACAACTGACCATTTGGGCTATTTGTTTTCTCCTGCGCTTTAAAATCCCCTCTCTATGTTTCTTGTGTTTTAAATTCACCAATAAAGAGTGAGCTCTGAAAACCTTAGACTCTACTCTCGACCTCAATAAAAGCAGAACCCTAGGCCAGTGTGCTCTCGCTACCCGAGAGCTCACTGTGTTGCCCCAGGTATGCTGTGTAATTCTCAGGTCTTGTAAGTAATAAATCTGACTCTTTTCAGAGTTTCCTAATTGTTATTGCTGAAGGGCGTCTTGTAATCATAGTAAGAATCACCCGGGCAGGTCTGCAACACTGGTCTTTGACAGGCTGAGACCAATACGAAACAAGGTTAGACTCTCCTGCCCTGGGAGTCAGCACGCCAGTGGCCTTCGCCTTGAGCCTCTCCATCACCTTGCCAGTCTAGAGACTGGTTCCATGTCTACTGAGAGAACTTTTGCAGCCCACTAATAGATCAATGATAATATTATGAAAAAGATCGCTGTTCTAGTCCGGGTCAGCAAAAAATGCAACCCACGGGCCAAATCCAGCCTGCTACCTATTTCTATAAATGAAGTTTTATTTGAACACAGCCCAACCCATTTATTTGTGCATGGCTGCTTTTGAGCTACAACAGCAAAGCTGAGTCGTGAAAGAGAACATGTGGCCAGTGAAGCCTAATATATTTACTATCTGGCCTTTACGGAAAAAGTTAGCCCACTTCTGCTCTAGAAGTGCTCAAGAATTGACAAGAGAAAGACCAGAGAAAGCAGATGTTCTTACAAAAATAACAGTGTCACCTGGAGGCTGAAAAGGCATCTTGTTCCTCCATTTCTGAGCTGTATTTACTGCTTATCCTTAATAACAGAAATTTCTTTTAATACTCAAATGTTTTACGTGAGCTGTTGTTACAATAATCTGGAGAGAAGTCAAGTATCGATATACACGGAGGTACTTAAAACAATTGTACTCTAGACTCTAAACAATTCACAAATCAGCTCCAGACAAGGTGATGAACTAGCACGAGGTTCGTGCCCTTTTCCTCCAAATTGATCCTGAAGAAACTGGCAGTGAGAGGAAGAATGGGTTCCAGCAAGCAAATAACCAAAACCAAACAAGCAAACAAAAAGGGAGTGAGGATATCCTGGTGAGACATCCTTGGGAAGACTAAAGGTGATCCTGAAATTGCCTCAAATTCCATAGGATCAACATTATAATGCAGTAAAGGCAGAAATCAGTGACAAAAAAGATCACTAAAATCAATCCTATGTATTTGAAAATTAAATATTACTAACCCTCGGGTCAAAGAGGCAACCGTCAGGGGCAGAGAAAGACAGTGAACTCATGTTAACGTTGGTGGGATCCTGCTCAAGCGGCACTGCTCAGAGGGCAGAGCGACTGGCCGTGCAGGAGGTCTGTTCACACGCGTCAGCACAAACGCGTGAGGAACGCCTTGCTCTACATGACGGCTATGCTGTTGCAACAGCTACCACGCCACGACAGCTAGATGTCACGACAGATAAACGTCACGATGGCTACGTTGTCACTAGGCCATGTCACTAGGAATGTTTTGGCTCCATCATAATCTCATGGGGCCACCATGATATATGTGGTCCGTTGTTGATGGAAACATCGTTATGTGACATGTGGCTTTACATAAACATGAAGAGATGACATTTGACAAGCTGTATGTGATCACCCACCCTGAACTCCACAGGGTGTCGCTCACGCCGTGCTCTATGTGAATAATGCCCAACACAGCAACTCATTTCTATATCCAAAGTTCTCCACAAAAGTTAAAAAAAAAAAAAAAAATACTCCTTAAGAGTAGAGGAAAAAATCCCTCTCCTAACTCCCAACGAACACACATATTCCTCAACGTACCTTACGCATACTTCACTTATTCATTCAATAAACATTTCTGAGGACCTAATACGGGCCGGGCACTATAGTAAGTATTGGGGATAAGCAGTGAAGAGGGCAGGGTCCCTTTCCTCCAGCAGCTGTCAGAAGTAAGGCCTGACCGTCACACAGGACTGTATAGTGTTCCAATAGGAAAGCATTTACGCGGGATGTGGGTTCAAGCCGCCCAGATGGGACGAGGAGCCCTGGGCAGTTCTCGTACCTGCAGTGCTTTTTGGGAAGTCTGTCAAGGGACACACATCTGTTTCCACAGGGACACTTGAAAAACCTCTTGACGCCATCGTGCCAGTGGTAGTCGTGCTGCTCGTGGACGCAGGTGTCTGAAGGCTTGAAGTGGGTGTAGGCGCACTGCAAAAAACCAGCAGGAGGCACATGTGCTCAAGGGCTCTGAAGGAGAAACTGGCTGGCTGCTACAAAAGCGATCTGCTCCCCCGTCACCACCCGGGTGCTTGCTGGTTGGTGCAGCTACCTTCTTATCTTCTAGTGGCAGGGACCTCTGAGTTTTCTTGGGTCCCTCTGACTGATACCACTTTTCCTCATGTTTGCCCCAGTTTCTAGTCAGGCACAAAGTACACAATAACCTTCTGTGACATCAAGACAACAGCAAGGGCAGAGGAAGAAAAGGACTGGAAACCTCTCGATGGCCCTATTGCAGGTCTGTCCTATGGTCCCTGCAGTTCCTTGGTTATAGGATACTGAGGCACGGGGCCCATCTAGGAAGGCGGATCAGCAGCTCACTCATTTTCTCTGACAAGACCTCTGGAAAGGATATAAGCTTATTACTACTCCTACTTTTTAAGCAGCAAAACCAACAGAGAGATATTAATTCACTTAATGTTGATTTTCAAAAGGACTGAGGAGAATAAGAAATGGTGGATGAAGGCCAAAACAGGTGCTGGGACAGTGCAATGTTAATTTCTGCTAATTCCACTGAGCCTCGATAAATAACTTCCAATTGTGGCAACCTCAAAAAAGGGCACAGTGGAGTGGTATGCCAGCTGTGACAAGTGGAAAAATGTCCCTCTTCCCTAAGGAGGTACACACCCTATTCCCTAGAACCTGTATGTTAGGTTACATAGCAAAGAAGGATTAAGGTTGCTAAATGTTGGTTTTAAGACCAGGAGATTATCCGGGATTATCTGTATTACCCAATGGAACCACAGAATGTCCTTAAAAGTGCAAGTGGGGCACAGAGGGTGATGCCATGAGGGCTCAAGCCATGAGAGCGCTCAAGCCACCATTGCTAGCTTTGAGGAGGGAGGAAGGGGCCACACACCAAGGAATATGGGCAGAATCTAGAAGCTGGGAAAGGCAGGGAAATGGATTCTCCCCCAGAGCCTCCAGAAGGAAACAGCCCTGAGGACACCAGATTTTAGCCTCCTGAGCCCTACATAGTCTTCTGACCTACAGAATGGTAAGATGATATCTTTGTGTTGTTTTAAGCTACCAAACTCGTGGTCATTTGTCAGAGCAGCAACAGGAAACTAATACGCCAGCCATGTCCTTAGGCTTGCCACTCTGTCAGAGTAAAAGCTGTCATCTGAGGTAAAACCTTTACTTATTCTCAAAGGTCTGAACTTTCTCAAGGAAGCCCTACCTTTGGTGGCTAGTTCAGGGCCATCCCCTAAATGTAAAGGAGAATCTAAGGCTTTTAAAGGAATAGAGAAATTGTACTTGGTAAGTTAAGCCTCTTCTTCCTTTAACACATGTATTGGAGATCGATTGGTGAGGTGGGTATAAAATGAGTGGAAGAAACAGTGCTCATCAAGAGCTTCCTTTCTATTTTTTTCTGTTTTCTATTAATATTGAGGAATAGGGGATTTGTTATTTTCTAACAGACTTAGGGTAAAAATTCTGAAAACATAGATTAATAATTTACATTCTGCCTTTAGTACATTAAGCCCTAAGTAAAAAAGGACAATAGCAGTTGGTCATCACATGTGATGCCAGATCAAGTCATTCAACCAAAGTCCCAGGGGCTGGGAATCGTGCACTCAGGGAGTGTAGAAACTTGAGAAAAAGGTAAGAATAACTTGGATCCAATGGGCAAAGGGATGTTAGAGGCACATCTGCAGAACCAGGAGCTGTGGTCAAATGAAGGGAAAACCTCATTACAAATGCTCCCCCATCAGGCTCAACTGCCAGATCAATAGGAAGCCAGGTCCTAGGCTACCAGGGGCAGGTTGGTTTCCAGCCTAAATAAATGATCTAGCACATACCGTCTTGCATGTCACTACTCGACATTTCACTTCTTTGATGTTCCTCATCTTTTCTTCCATTTGTTCTTTTTTTACCAGTGGCTCAAAATAGAGTTCCTGCATCTCAGCCTCGGCCTGGAATGACAAGGTATACAACGGACTTTGTACCAAATCCAACATGTACTCAGGCAGCAGTTCAATAACAGACAGAACGGAAGAGAGAAGCTCATTGTCATCAGGACACTTGATAATAGCTCAATAAAATGCAAACCAAAAGATGATCATAAGTAAACACCATTCTTAACATGCAAAAAAAAAAAAAAAAAAAGGTGGGGGGGGAGGGATATGAAACCATTTGTTAATTGTGGTGATTATTTAAAATGCTAAATAAAAACCTAAAATACTATCATTACTAACAGTGTCACCATGTCGAGTGCACACCGGAAAGGAATGCGTCCTACGACCCCAATACAGACTCAAGCTATGGAAAGTATTCAGAGCCCCCAGTGGCAATGGCCCAGTCTTTTCTACGCTCATCTCCAGACCAAGCACCTGGCAAGAGGCACAACAGGGGGAAGGTATGAGGGCAGAGAGGTATTTACAGCAGAATGTAGTCACAGGTCTGTGTGAGAGCAGCCACACAAGGCACAAGGACCCAGGGTCTTTGGTGGCCACGAGGCTAGAGGCTCAGCTCTACAGTCTTTGGAGCACTTCTCCTGATTGAGTTTCAAGTCCAGTGGAAAGATATATTATATAATTGTCTAGTTAGTCATTTGTTAATCAAAAGAAAAGCAGATTATTCAGAGTACTAGCACTAAGTGGGGACAATAGTGCCCTCAAGGGACCATTTTGAAAATCTGTAAGAGCACTTTTTTTGTTATCCCAATGACTGCCACCTCGGCTACTGGCAGGGGCCAGGGATGCTACACCATTTGCAATGCATGGAACTGTCTGCCATACAACAAAGGATCGTCCTGAATGTTTTATGGGATGTTATGTGGATGAAAAACCTGATTATAACCCTCGAATCTAATTGCTTTATATGCAACCCTACGATGTCTGTGCGTGGTACTAATATACACTGAATACTGCAAGAGTGCAGCTAGGCAACTCCCGTGTATGTGGAGGGACAACTGTGCTTGGTGTCTTCAAAAGTTTCCCAGGATTATTCACTGTTTTTTTTTTAAATAATCACATTTTCAAAGAAATAGGCCCATGGTTTTTAAATTACCAAGAAAACATACCTATACAAGTCTTTCTAGCTGTGTCAAATATTTACAACACTTATAAACCCAACACTGTTTACTTCATTATTTCTCCTACGGTAGTTGTGCCCATGTGTTTACATAACGAAATATATATTTGGAACATAAATATTTTCATTTTTTCTTCTTTACAACTAGGATATTATATTGACATTTCAATATAATTTAACTACTTAGGCGATTATATTATCGACAAATTTTATTTCCAGATAATAAGGGAGCAATGCAAAATACTTATTAAAAAGAGAGATTGTAAGTGTTGGGTTGATCATTACTGGGCATCTGAAATGCCAATATAAAAATATTTGAATGGAAAACTCCTTTCTCACATTGCAAGGCAGAAAGAAAATAGGTGATGGTGGTGAGCCATTTAAATTTAAGTTCATAGCCATAACTACATGAAAACATTTTTATAATACTAAAGTCTATTTTAATAATGTTAAATGATATTCTTCAATGCGAGGACAAAGGGAAAACTAAAATCTACTGGAAATATTCCTGTTCTTCAAAACAAACTCAAACAAACCAGCACATAGCTATGTCTTACTTGAGGTAAAAGAAACAGACTCTTTGTCCCATGACACTGCCCTGACAGCCAAAGGCCATCTCTGCCATCTTTGATCTTTTGAGCTCGTACCTCTTTTATGATCCCTGTGTGCCTCGATTTTGCTTTTAGAATCTTCTGAAATTCCTCGGATTCAAGGTAGGCAAGCTGTTCTCTCCGTTTTTTCCTGGCAGGCTCCAACTCATCCTCAGCTAGAGCAAAAAGAAAAAGCATCAGCTGTACCAGAGGACTTTCAGAGGCCAGCGTGCCCCATTGGCTCAGCTTCCTCCATTTTCTGTCTCTGCCCACCAGGCCCTTCAAATTTAATTTATCCCAGTGGATACCAGGAGAGGAAGGCTCTTCAGAAGTGAGCTGGG